AAGACCAACCCCCGGCGCGGGGCCGGCGCGGGAGGAGGACGCTGCAGCCCCGCGCCGGGCTCCCCGCGCCTCCCCCAGCGCAGCCTGGTCCGGGGGCACGGGGCTGCACCCAGGTCCAGCCGGGACCAAAGCCGGGCTGGAGGGTCTTGTCCTCCCACAGGCTCAACCCGACACCAGACCTGGGGGTAGGGAGGGGTTTGACCCCGTGCTCACATGGGAACGGGTGGGGGGGGGTCGCCTTCCTCTGCAGCAGGGATGGAAATCACTATCCTCCCCCTGGCAATCACCGATCCTTTCCCCGGGATCTCTTGTCGGGGAACAACCTGTGATAGCAGGTGACATTGCACATCCTCACTCCCCTGCCCCACATCAGGGTGCAAGGCCTGAGCTGTGCCAGGGCTTACGCCCTCTTACTGGTACAGTTAGTGGGTTTGTCCGGGCTGGTTTGGACAGAGCTGATGTGATGTGTGATGGGGCTGGGCTAGACGCAGCTGCTGCGGGTCCCTTCCAGCCCCACTGCTCCATGAAAGTGCTTTCCACCCCACTCACATTCAGCTGAGTTCGTACTTCCCCCCAGAGCTCATGTTACCAAGTCCAGCCCTGCATTCATGCATTCAACTGGACTTAAAAATCAGGCCACAGTGCGGGAAAATGGGCACAATGTAACTAGGACTAGCCAACAGACAGCAGCAGGGCTGGAGGATGGGGAGCTGGAGGAGTGGGACCACGAAAGACCATTAAAATGAAGAGAGGGCCGTTAACATGTGGGGAATGAAGAGTTTAGAAGGAATCAACAACCAACTATCTTCAGTCATGAAGTCAGTAGACTCCCTTCCCTGCAGCCTGAGTAATGGCCTTTGTCCTGGTGAGGCGCTGGTTTTAAACTCGGGGTGCAGCTGGAGACAAAGAGAGTAGGTTTAAGAGAAGAAGCCCTGTGCGAATGTGGAGTGGAGGGAAAATGGAGGGGTGTGAGGTGCAGGGGACCTGCGGCCAGTCTGCAAAGCCCTCCATGCCAACCTCCCCATCACTTAGAGCGGGGTCACAACAGAGGGGAGCAAAGTGGAACTGAAAGGAGGGAGGGGAGCAGTCCTGCTTGCTCCAGTACTAGAGCAAAGGGACAGGCGATATCATTGCAAAAGCAGCTGGTTTCAATATGGGGAGGGGGCGACCCCCTGTCATCCCATGCCACCCACAGCCATGGGGCTCACGGCTTATCACAGGGAGGATAAGGCCTGGAGGAGCCATGTGATGGGCAGAGCCAGGGGCCTCCAGAGAAAGAGGGGCAAGGGTCAGCTAGATCTGGAGTCCAGCAGGGCCCTGTCCCCATCGTCCCCACGGCCATGCAAGCTGAGGTACCAGGCCACCAAGGTATTCCACCACTGGTCACAAGGGGGAGGCCTCAGACCACCTTGTGGAGGGGTCCCTATCCTGCCCAGCAGCAAAGCAGACCTCTGAGGCAGACCTTTACAGCCCCCAAGACCAGGAAAGGCTGGTTGGCCTGGACACAGCCACAGGGAAAGTAGGAGATGTTGGGGGGACCTGGGGGCATTTTCAGCCTCTCAGGTACTTTCTCTTCTCAGCCTGGCCAGAAGCACAAGCAGCTGCTGCAATCACAGCCTCGGAGGCCCATGAGTGTTCCTCCCAGGAGCATGGGGCCTCTCCTCTTCCTCCTCCTTGCCGGGGCACCAGGAGGTAAGTGGGGACACCCTGCCCTGCCCCAGGCCCTGTGCTCTCTGCTGTGGCAGCTTGAGGGGGGAAGGGGGATGGTGGACGCAGCCTCCAGTGCTATGCAGGGTGACATGGAGTGGGGCCAATGTTTCCCCGAGCTGAGGGGTTCTGCCAAGGAGAAAGAGCCCTCTGAGAAGACCTAGGGGTTACGCACAGCTCCGCCCCATTTCCAGGGGCTTGCACTCTGTGCTCAAGATCAGGGCAGGAAACCCCTCACCCAGGTCTCTCCCCCACCCCTGGTAGTCTCCCCACTACTGCCCATGGCACCTTGGAGCCTGCGTCTACAACAGACCACCATTCTCCATAACTCTGGCAAAGCAGAAGTATGGGGGCTGACACTGGTGGGGGATGTGAAGATCCACGCCCTGGACTGTGCTACCTGCCCCATCCATTTCCTCCAGCCTTGGGTCCAGGGCACCACCAGCCCTGAGCACTGGCACAACAGGGAGCTGCTGATCCACCTGTAGCTGGCCAACTTCATCTGCCAGGTCAACAAGTGGGCACAGCAGGAGGGCTTGAGCTGTGAGTACGGGGGTGGCAGGGAGGGAGTGCATCCCCTCCCTCTTCTTCCCCTTGCCCTCCTCCTCCTCTTCTCACCCGCTCCCTTCCCATCCCATCCTCAACCCCTTCATGACCCAGAGCTCTTGCAGGGGGCTTACAGCACCAGCCTCAGGGGTGAGGATCTGGTCAGCTTCTTGGTGGGCAAATGCATGGCTTGGTGGCAGGACCAGCTAGCACTACATGTGTGGGACACCCTGAACTGTGACAAGGTTGCAGCCAATACAGTGGAAAACTTACTCAACCACACCTGCATCCAGAACCTGCAGACTCTGCTCTGCAATGGGAAGGAGGTGATGGAGAGGCAGGGTGAGGCCCCCAATGCTAAGGTAAGCCCCCCCAAAATAACATAAAACTGCCTCTGGGGGAGGGGGCAGCAGATACTTCTATCCAGCTGTTGTCTGTGCCAAGAAGCAGCTGCCTCTGGAGTGAGGCACTTCCTGCCTGTGGTGCCACAGATACCCTGACCCAGCCTCTGTCTGCCCTCCCCAGAGCACCCCGTGGTCACGGTATATGCCCAGCAACCCGTTGTCACCCCAGAGCTCCCACTGATGCCAGTTTACTGGGTCACCGGCTTCTACCCACGGCCCATCCAAGTGGCCTGGCTGCAGGATAGCAAGGAGGTGCCTCCAGGCCTGGGCCTCAACTCCAGCGGCCTCCTGCCCAACATCAACATGACCTACCAGCTGTGTAGCATCCTGGCTCTGAATCTGTCTTCTGGGCACCATTATGCCTGCCTCGTGGAGCACAGCAGCCTGGGCAGCCATGGCTTGGTCATGCCCTGGGGTAGGTGCAGGACAGAGCTGGGCACAGTGGGGGGAAGGTATCAGCACTGGGGAATGGACAGATCCCACTTGAGGCATGAGCTACCACCTGTGACCAGCTCCGGCCCCCTGCCCCCATGCTCCAGGCTTGGGTGTAGTGGATTCCCCTTCAGGGGCTGAGGCCATGTACCAGCAGATCCAAAGAGACAGCTTCCTGGGTAAGAGGTAGCCCAGTCCCACCCTGCCTCAAAACCCTGGTGGTCTAGTCTCAGCTCCCAGCTCAGTTGGCTCCAAGCCTCAGACCTACATGTGCATGATGAGCCACTGATGCCAGCACACCTCCACAGGACAGCTCTCCCAGCTGGAACTGGGCTTTCTTCCTGAGACTGTCACCTGCCCCAGGCCTTCCAGGGATGGCTGATGGGACCCCTCCTTAGCTCTTCCACTAGCTCCTCCAGCCCAATCACTGCCCTGAACAGGGAGAGAACCCAGGTGTCCTGGCTTCCAGCCCCACCATGGTGAAGGCAGGGCCTAGGACAGGGAGGCAGACCAGACCATGCAACAGGGGATTCTTGCTCCCCTCCCTCTGCTGCCTTCCAGAAAGCAAAACCCACTGGAAAACCAATGTGACCATGCGTATCTTGGTCACACTTCTCATCCTGGCCATGGTGGTGGCAGCCATTGTGTGCATGCAGCAGAGACAGAGATGAGCTGCCTTCCATCCTTTTCCTCCTCCTCTCCTGACTCACAGGGGAAGGGGTTTCTCTACATTTCCCATGGCCCTTACCCAGCACTCATGGTGCGATCTGTACTTGCAGGAGGTATGAGAACATCAGCTGTCCTGGGATGATGTGACTTGTCTCCAGCTCTTTGGTTGAGGCTCTGCCAGTGATGTGGAGATGGGGCGGACAGTCCATGGCACTCTCCTTTGTCCATTGGGCATCTCATGGGTACAATAAAATAGTGGATGGCTTTCCTTGGCACTGTATCATGACCTGGAGCCCCCACAATCACACATCAGAGATGCAGAGACTAGGCCTCACCGGAGACCCAACAATAAACCCCTGGGATACAGAGCACCTCTCCGTTTTGTCCCCTTCACCAACACAGAGCAGGACAGGCACACGTACAACCTGTACCACCCCACTTCAGACCCAAGGGATCTAACCCCAGCCCTGCCCAGGGTCAGAGCTATGGAAGAAATGAGGAGGAGTCTGCATCGATCCCAAGAGTTTTATTTTGGGGACCTCAGCTGGAAGGAAACACAGACATCCTGGCTCCTAGCCCCCATTCCCTTCCCCACCCTGGGAGAGAACCCAGGCATCCTGGCTCCCAGCCCAGACCTACTCTAACTCCTGCCAGACCCTCCTGACCTCATTCTCCTTCCAGAGCTGGCTTGGAACCTGGGTATCTGGGCTCCTAGCCTGCCTGACCCTTTTCTCCCTGATCCTAGGGTGATAAGCCTGGCTGGTCTTTCTCAGTTGGAGACCCCTAGCCACTGAATACCCCAAGGGCATGGGGAGCAGCTAGAGTCCTGGGCTGCTCCTCTGTGGTGGCTGGACAGATCCTACAAGGACAGACAGAGTGTGGTGAGCTCCAGGGGACCAGGTGCACCATCCCCTTGTGCCCTGTGGAAGTAAGAGGGACTCATGGTGTTTCCTCCACCACAGGACAGTGACCATGCCTGCTGCACCCAGCAAGGAGTTTGGCAATGCCAGGCCCACATCCTGGTACCCACCAGGCCCTAAAAGAGGGGTTGTAGTAGTTGCTCAGATATAGGACACTTACCAAGCAACACAGCATGGAGAAATGCCCTCCCAGGCAGCCTATCCCGGGTTGCAGACCAGGAAGACAGCTGGGTCAGGCTGGGAACATGGAACAACTCAGTGAACCACAGCATGCAACAGCCCAAGGCATTCACGGGAGACAGGCAAAATGTCCTGTGGAGTAACGCACACCACATTTGAGGCACCAGAGAAGCTTTGGAGGAATGGAACCTCACTGAAAACCCCTCATTGGACAGGAGACATAGTGGCCGGCAGGCAGCAAGACGCTACAGACAAATAGCCAGCTAGCCAGGCAGCACTCAGGAGTGCTAGGAGGGGCTGAGAGTGGAATCTGAGGTTCCAGGATCCCTGAGAGGGACTGAGGGTGGGATCAGCGGGTTTGGGAGCCCAAGAGCTATTGTGTGGTGGGAATAGACTCAGAGATGGGACATGTACTGTTTATTGTTCAAACTAGTGATTCTAAAAGGGGCAATACCTCTGAGTGGGGCCCAGCACATTAAAGGGGCTGCACTGAAAGAAAGAAGAAGGACCAGAGAGACCACCTTGAAAAAGGAGCTGGCAACATCTGCAAGACACACCTATTCAGGAGAAGTGTGGGTGGGCTGTAGGGGAGGAGGAGCCCCGTAAAGACACCACTCGAGGACAAGATGTGGCAGGTGAATCCATAGAGCAGGGCCAGGGGTTAATACCTCTGCCACCAAAGGGACCTAGACCTTACTTCTGTTAGAGTGGGAAGCCAGCAGTGGAACCACAATGTACTATCACCTGCCTCCCAGGACCCTCTGCTGCCTCTGCCCCTTCCCCCCCGAACATAGATGGAGCCCAGGTATATGGACTGCCCATCCTGCCCCCACCAACTCTCTAGTCTACCTGTACCCTCCCTGAAGTCTGCTCATCCCTCGCTGCTCCACAACCAAGCTCTGTGACTGCAGCTGGGCACTGACACCCAGCAGAGGAAGTGGGACCAGGTGGTGGGAGTGAGCTCTGGATCCATTAACCCCCCCCCCCCCCGAAGGAGGAACTTGGTGCTGTGCCTGCTCTGGCATCTCCTTCCATCTCCCTTCTGCACAGAGAGGGCAGAACTGAACGTCAGCCCCTGGGGCACTGGGCCCAGACCTGAGGATTGTGATGCATCAGCTCCAGCTCGGAAAAGCTCAACTTTAGGAGAAATCCTGCCATAGGAACCCAGGCCCAGTAGCCATCTGGAGCCCCCCCAGTACCACCTAGCAGGTCTGACCTGAGAGGAGCAAGAGGTGGAGCCTGGGTCCTGGCTGGGTGAGTGCTGCTGGTTACCAGCCACCCCATAAGGTGGCTTGAGGCTTCCCCATTGTGGCCAAAGATGGAATACACTGGTGACTGCAGTATGTTAGCTTGCACGGCCATGGGGGGAGGAGGAGAGGGCCCTGCTGGACTGCAGATCTAGCTGACTCTTGCCCCCATCTCTCTGGAGGCTCCTGGCTCTGTTCATCACATGACTCCTCCCCTGCCTTCCTTCAGGCCTTCTCCTTGTGACAGCCATGAGCCCCATGTCTGCAGGGTTGCATGGGATGACAGTGGGTTTTCCCCCCTCCTTCCCTGTATTTAAACTTGCTGCTTTTGCAATGATACCGCCAGTCACCTCACTCTAGTGTTAAAGCAGGAAGGTCTGCTCCTCCCCCTCCTTTCAGGCCTGCTTTACTCCCCTATGTTGTGACCCCACTCTAAGTAAGGGGGAGGTTGGCATGGAGGGTGTACAGACTGGCCACAGGTCCCCTGAACTTCTCACTCTTCCATTTTTCCCCACTCCACATTCACACAGGGCTTCTTCTCCTAAACCTCTCTTTGACTCCAGCTCCACCCAGAGCTTAAAACCAGCTGCGTCATGGGGACAGCCACCTTTATTCAGGCTGCGGGGAAGGGAGTCTACTGACTTCAGGGCTGAGGATACTTGTCTTGATTCCTTCTAAACTCTTCATTCCCCATGTGTTAATGACCCTCTCTCCATTTTTAATGGTCTTTCATGGTCCCACTCCTCTAGCTCCCCATCCTCCCATAGATGGTGTGTAGAGGGGTATGGGGGGTATGTGCCCCCCCCCACCCTGAAATTGGCCCTCGCCAGCCAGGGAGTGGGGAGCACTGGCCAGTGCCCCACCAGTGCTTCTGGGGTCAGCGATTGGCCACTGGGGGACTACCCCACCATTGGCAATTGGTCACTGGTGCTCCCCCCAGAGCCAGGAGGTACCAGTCACCCATGCTTTAGTCTGCTGCTGTCTGTTGGCTGCTTCTAGTCATATCATGCCCCTTTCCCAAATGCTGTGGCTTGGTTTTTAAGTTAACTCAGCTGAACGTGAGCTCTGTGGGGAAGTATGAACTCAGCTGAATGTGAGCGGGGTGGAAATCATTTTCATAGAGTATTGGAGCTGAAAGGGACCTGCAGAGGCTGTGTCTAGCCCAGCCCCGTCAGACATCACATCAGCCCTGTCCAAACCATCCCAGAAAAGCCCAGTGGGTGCAGAGAGGAGTGGTGGGGAGTGTGTTTAGACTGGCCACAGGTACCCTGAAACTCACACTCCTCCATTTTCTCTCCAGTCCACATTCACACAGGGCTTCTCCTAAACCTTCTATCTTTGCCTCTAGCTGCACCCAGTTTAAAACCTTGCTTGCCTATATCCTTAGACCAACATGGCTACAACCAAAAACCCAAATTATTCACCTTCGGCCTTTTTTACCCTTTCTTTTTTTCCTCCCTCCCTTCCCTGCTCTACCTTGTGGTTTCCTAATTTCCACCTGTTTACATGCTCACTAACAGCCTGTCACACTTTTAGCTTCTCTCATTCCTTGGAGTCTCAGAACAGCAGAGACTTCTTATGCTTGAAGAAGGGTGATTGTGCCCAAAATAACCAATTGGTCTAATAAAAGATACCATGTCTACTCAAAGAACAACTGACTTCCTACCCTTTGAGCAGGGGGCAGAACCCAATAATCTTGCAAGGTCCCTTCCAGCCCTAACGTCTATGACATCTATGAACCTTGCCTGCCTATGTCCTTAGACCAACACAGCTACAACCAAAAACCCAGCAGATTGAGTTAGGTTCAGGAGCACACACCCCCTTCTCCCCCAGATTAGCTCAATAGCAGGCTCAGTGAGAAAACAGCTGTCAGAGCTAGAAAAATGGGTGACAGATAAACCCAGTCCAGATTTTCAGGATAAAGATGCATTCTGTGTACCAGATACATTTGTGCAGTTATGTGATCTGTGATCTTCATGGATAGTAAAAAAGGAAGGAAATTAGTCACTCAGGAAGGATTGCAATGAACATGAAAGAGGTACAAAAAAAAAGGAATACAAGTTAAAGACTGCAATTGATGCATCTCCAGCAAAACCAAGGAAGTGATTCTTCTGCTCTACTCAGCATTGGTGAGACCACAGCTGGAGTACTGCATCCAGTTCTGGGCTGCACTGCACTGCACAAGGACATGGTAAAGTTTGATAGAGTCCAGAGAAGGGCCACTCACATGGTCAGAGACTTGCATGGCAAACTATAAAAGAAAAGACTGAGGGACCTGGGACTCTTCAGCCTCAAAAAGCGAGGGCTGAGAGGGGACTTGGTAGCAGCTTATCACTACATTAGAGGAGTACATCAAAGGCTCAGTGAGCAACTGTTCACCAGGGCACCCTTGGAAAAACCAAGAGTAATGGCCTCAAACTTCTGGAAGACCATTTCAGGCTCAACATCAGGAAAAACCTCTTCGCAGTCAGGGTGTCCAGACTGTGAACTAAGCTCCCTCCAGAGGTGGTGCAGTCACCTACCCTGGAAATCTTCAAGAGGAAACTGGGTGGTCATCTTGCTGGAGTCACTGACCCTAGTTATCTTTCTTGCCTGGTGCATGGGGGCTGGACCTGATGATCTTCTGAGGTCCCTTCTAGCTTTACAATCTATGAATCTATGAAGTTTTTGTGACTGCTTATCCCGCTCTGCTGAAGCCACGCCATGCCCATCAATCTTGACAGGCATTTCTTCTCCTGCCTCGGATGTGGTGGCTCCCTCCCCCCTGCCCGCCTCTGCCTCCTACCCCACAGCAACCGCAACCACATCTGTCTCACTGCCTGAGGTGGCAGTGGTGGCAGATGATAACTATTTGAGTTGGTCTAATAAAAGATACCAAATTTACCCAAAGAACCTCATCTGCCAATTGACCACTTTACATTTCCAGCAAAAACTGTTTTATCTATTTAACCTCATGGGCACCCATTCCATAACAAGGAAGTGTGGACATAAGACTTTACAGGCTCTGGAGCTACACCTGCTGGACGAATTACATAACTATCAATGAAGACAGACCCTAACATGATAGAAGTTACAAACCGAGTTGCAGAACAAGTTTCAACTACATCTGGTTCAACTAAACTATATCCATCAAGCTTTATTTATCACACGATGATTGGGCTCCTAAATAAGCTATAGCCCCATACACATGTATCATGTTATGGGTTATAACACATTATCAGGTTGTAAAGTG